ACAGTCTAAATAAGGTAAACAATCACTCATTGTTTTCAAACATATAAGTTCTGTCCAGTATTTAACATAGTACTTATTTCTTAACTCTGCATCAGAATTGAGAATCAGTGAATCAAATCAGTAGTTTTTTTTGTTATGTTTACTTTTATTTTTAATATTATTTCTATCATCTATTGATTCTTTGAAATAAAAATCCATTCTAACCATATTGAAGATAGTTAAGAAAATCACGATTTGTTACAAAACTTAATGAAACAACTGATTCGGAATTAAAGAATCATGTTCATAGAGCACGTATTACTTTCAAATGCATGCTCTTAGGTCAAACAGTAATTACTGATTATGACCCACCACATCAGTACTTTCCAAGGAAAGTTACCTTTCATTTCACAAAACACTGAACCAATCTCCCTGATATAGCAACCATGATGTTAGGTACTCCATTAATAACGATAATCGCATTAGACGTGAGATTGTCTGTGTTATTAATCAAGGTGACTCGGAAATTGCGACGTAATGTTATAACGACACTGGATATTAGGTCCTACTGACATACAATATGGACAAAACTACAAGGATCTTACTGTTTATATTTAAAATTATACTACATGTAATATTATTACGTTAATTAATATGATGGACTTTAAGATAATAAGACCTCAACTTACTTGATACAGAATTTAATTAAAATCCCCTTAATACTATATTAAACGTTTCTAGTTCTTTCATTATTTGCAGTTGCATGAAATGATATCGCTGTAATATACATACAATACAAAAATAGAGGTATTTCACTATCATAACCTAAAATGAATTTCATATTTATCATAATCAACACATACAAAATACAGCAAGTCATTAAAGTAAATTACTCCGGTTAAATGTAGATTTGCTTACACCAAATTTAAGAGGTCAGTATTTAAAAGTGAAAATTAAACAAGAGAAAGTACCGTAGTATATAATGTAAAGAATGTAAATTTTATTGTCTTATAATACCATTACTTTGAAGAATAAATTTAGTTTGAAAGTATGCAACCGATCTATACGTACCTAGTACTTTTAGGTTGTTAAGTTACGATACATTAACTTTGACAAAAACAACACTGATGTTGAATTGTAAGGAAAATATGAATGTAAATAAGTAAGTGATTAGTTCGTTTTTAAAGTACTTTTCCTAATAATAATAACATTTAAAAAATAACTAACAATGCCTATTAATGTCGCCGATGATAAAGGATGAATATGGTAGATGTTATTTCCTAAATAGGTTCGGATGATCTACCTCGGTAACAAATACTTATAGCTACATCATATCCCAGAATAACGAATAAACGTTTTATCTATGGTAACGCAGCAGCATTGTCGGATGCAATTTCTTCGAAATAATCAAATATGAACATTAAAGTAAACGCTTGTTTAAGTTAGTGAATTTTAAAGTTGGATTAAAATCAGTGTTGAGATTAGACCAAAATAGAGATGATCGTCTTGCTTTTATCAATTTCCTGTAATATATTCGGGATTAGTTTCTATGGGATTAACCCTGCAGTATATTTTTTTGCAATATTACCATTATTTAAGAAATTATTGATGGCTATGGTTGTTTTGTTATTGCATTTTAAAGTTCACTGATGTTATCTCAGTAAAGTATGTAAGTAGATTACAGTACATTATGAACATAATGTAAATTGTAGACAATGAATGCGCAAAAAATCGGGTTCAACAATCTCTACGATCATTTAACAAAAACGTGTCTCTTCACTTGTAACAATTAGTTTCCCATTATTGTCAGTGATTTCCATCATGTAAACTATGTCATCTATTAAATCAATGTCAACGTCATTTAGCACACATTTGAACTTATTATGAGTTGAAGGTAACTTTCTATTACGATTGTTAATAATAGCTACTACTAGGCTTTAATAATTCAACATCATCTGCATTAATAAGTTTATTTCTAGTTTATGCCGGGATGTTGGAGGAATGTGTAAGCGTTTCCATGATCTGGATGATATGATACGAAGAAAATAGTCGTCATGTTTTTAGCCTGTAAGAATCTGGCAGTCCTCATTAGTAATTTAATTTTTTCAAGTCGCAATCTAATACATATAATATTTAAACTGCTAAATTAATGTTTTCATTAATAATAACAGACATATGAATTAAATATATCTACGTATATGTATATTATAAGTTACTAACATAGTTTTATAAGTTTTTTTTACTAACACAATATGGATGTAATCCGAATTAAAATTAAAATAAATAAATAAATAAATTTCTGAGTATATATGAGTTACTATAGAAAAGAAACAAAAACGAGATATTGAGATGAGAATACTAGCATTATAAATTAAAAATATATATACAACAGGTAGCAGGTCGTTATAAAACACAAATATTGTACATATTTTTTCACGCTTATTTATAATATCCTTAGTGGGTGTATATTTCTACTATAAAGTATATATAAATATCAATGTTTATAGTAGTTGAAGTCTATCTGAAAGTCAGGGCGAAGGTAAAGTTAAGTAAGCCTAGTTCGTGTCTCAACTGTTCTAGAAATAAAATAGAACTCTGTTGTATCGTTTATTATGTTATATTGCTAAGTAAAAGTAACGTCAGTATAAAAGTAGAAGCTATATACATAATTTAATATTATGCATTCGTTTTAAATTACATAATACTAACGAGTAAGACAATAATCTTCTCTAACCTTTTTAATAATATAAGTATATATATATTTACATGTAGATAAAACGGGAATCATATTCACTTTCCCGTTTACTATATACTCATACATATACAATCCTTTTACCTACTAATGATATACAGTTTTCTTTTCTACAATATTGCAAACTAATTATTTATCAGTAACACAGTAACGAATCCCTTATTCACGTTTAAAGTGATAACAGTTTATTTAATAGTGTAAGTCTGTTACATAGTTATCGAGATTTTGCAATTATTCCGCTAGCGCCATTTGGCTTTTATGTAATTTATATACTATATTATTATAATCTTAATAGTTCTTTTTTACTATTTGTTTTCTTTCCATGCGAACATTACTACAGTGATTGTTAGTAACCACAGTTTATGTTTAGCTCTAAACTTCACGCGGCTACACCAACGTATTATTTTCAATCTATGCCACAAGCTCTAAGTGGCCTTGAGTATTCTAAACATTTATTGTAAAATGCGATAGATTTATTTGTCTATTATTCTGCATATTGTACGCGAAAATCGATGAAAAATTTACTTTTATTCCCTTTAGTTCGTCTAGTCTGACATGATTGAATCCTGATATTGTTACATCAACTAATCAGTCTAAATAATAGTCATTCATATTATTACTTATTAAAAGTGATCTTTTATTATTAATGCTATTAAAGAAAGCATTTGGTATTCCGATAGCAAACAAAATTTACCAAAAGTATGTACATCTAGAGTCATCAAGTTTATTAAACTTAATAAAGGATGTATATAAAACATACTTTATAATATATCTTAAATATATTGAGTTAAAATTGAAAAAGACGTTATGTGACAATAATTTAGTGAAACATAATGTTGTGTATTCACGTATCACATTTAAAGCAATTACGAGCGTATTGAGGACAGAGAGCCCTTCAAAAACATTATCTAAACCAACATCAATCACACAGCGAATAATACTCACGGTTGATTGTAGAAGATTAGGGAAACAAAAAAAAAAGAAAGTTCTATGGGAGTTATCAAGAATCACTTGTCAGAAAGGTCAAGAGTCGGATGTAGCATTCGCAAGAAGTGTTTTGATTAATGAAAGAGGAAGTAACACTAGAGGTTAAAGACAGTTTCTATATTGAACAATTTGCATTCACACTTGAAACCTAATATGTACCACATCTTCACTTGTCATAGTTATTTGTTAACGTTTAAATATATTTAGAATTCACCAAGAGATAACATACAAATCTATTACCAAGACGTATATATTTAATTAAGGTAATGATGTAAGTTTAGTATTAAAATCCCTAAAATAACTATCTTATAGAAAAATATTCTTAAAAAGTATTATAGTTGAACATAAAAGTTTAAATACATAACAATAAATAAATTTGACATGGAAATAATAAAACATATAATATTTTTCTAGTGAAATGAAGATTGTTCAAGTAATTTAAACGATTAAGTGAACGCTGTCGGTGAACAATACAAAATCTAGATTGAGACTTGGTATGCTACTCGAAAAGGCTTAGGGCTAGAATTTCACCTCGGCAACAAAGAAAATGTGGAACATGACAATAATCTTGGCACAAATCAAAAAGATGTACTCTCTCAGTAAAATGTACTTATACCATGCAGTATGTCACAACATGAATCTATTCCCACGCATCTTTGTGAAGTATACTTAACAATAGATGACAAATACTTAGTAGAATATTAATTTAATTACATACTATTACCAATACGAAGTTTTTCTTTATTTCCTATTTAATGTTAGATAAATGTTCTCAAATTTTTAAATCTAACTGATCGCGGATTTGGAATGGGCGTGAGAACATACGTATATAATGGTCTTGTGAAAGCTAGGGTAATGATGAAGTTGTCGTAGCAAACGTAAATTTAGTGTAATCTTTGTATATTTTTTTATAAGAACAAAATGATAAAAGTCTAAGTATTATACAATTTCAACGCAGAAAATACCTGAAATTGTAAATTAGAATATACTAATTAAGTCTTGGTGCTTTACTTCCGATGGTAGCGGGTTTGGTGCAAACATTTGTACTCATGAGTATGATTTTGTGAATGATCCAGTGATACCTCTGGATGAAAGTGATGATAGTCGACCCGTGGCAAAAAGTTCATAACAGATTTGATATATCGGGAGCTCGTAAATAATTCTATCATGGAAAATATTCCGTTTATATCATGTATACAACTAACGACAGCAGTAGATGAAAATATATATAGTAGGCAAATATCCGGATCATAAAGATTAAAAAAAAAGATTATTTAAGTACCTTGGATACAATTAATGCTTTCCCAGCTAACGCGAAAAGTCCTGCAATAGCTAATGGAACCATTGCTGCTAATTTCATACTGGCTCCCATCATCATCATGCCCATCATTTTCTTCATCTTTCCTCGACCTGGAAAATTTAAATCCAAACAATTTAAAGACGTATTAAAAATATAGAGGTCTTCTAAGTCGATGTTTTACAATTTACGCTTTTAGGTACATACAACGTAAAATTAAATAGATAAACAAATTTATTGAAAAATTATCAAAATTAAAAAAAAAAATCTTTTGTAGCTTAGTTATACTATTTTTATCTCTTCTTGTTAACGTCTTATAAAATAAACAAATATAATGAACTCAATAGCTTAATCGTTTAGATTGCACTAGAATATAAAATAATCGTAGATTCTTATAAAATATTTAACTTTGCTATGCAAAATAATATATACTCTATGTAGTTATGAAGATCATATATCATTAAATTAAAAAGATAACAAACACGCTAGATAAATCGAGTTAAACTGCGTGAAATTATATATGCATTAATTGTTAGAGATCAAATGACAGCACGCGACAATTTAAAAGGAAATTAATATGTACATAGAATCTTCACTAAACATAAACAATTTCAGGAAATAACATTATTCAGTATAAGTATCCTCAATTAGTGCTAAGTTGTAGTAAAGGAAATCGCATGGAAAGAAAATGTTTCCTTAAAGACTGTCGTAATATAATTATCATGACAGTTAAATTATTGGTTGAATCTAACATACAGGTACTGGAATTTATAAAATCAGTGTAATATTTATATAATAACATTAGAAATGCTAAAGTGCTAAAAGCCTGTATAACTTATTGTCACAATTTTATGACTGAACCTCTGAACGGATAACAGTGAATTTTGGCCTGAAGAGATTGTACTACGAAGAACGACATTTGATATATTTTGATTTGATAATAGTTCAAAGTACAAATTGCATGGAATCAATACTTTGAGAAAGACCTAAGTGCTAGGATAATAAAAATACAGAATTCTAGCTCTGTTCTATCTTACATTTTAGATAAAACATACGTATCTAATTGTGAATATTCCAAACCATTATTTCAATCACTTATACACGTACAGTATATATGTACGTTATTGCACATCTTTGAAGTTATGAAAAAGTAGCGGATGTTACAGATTTCAAATATTATCATTATATTTTCTGGTAATAGACACATAACACATCCGTTATTGGAGCAAGCATTAAGACTACCATAACCTTTGCTCGATTGACCGGAAGACTAACCTTTTGTATTATTACTTTCTATCTGCTTAAACATTATATTTTCCACTATTACATTTACTTTTACTTTCTAATAGTGATGATCAGTTTTTAAATCCACCATAACAATATTGTCAATGACTTTCAACACATCAAAATTTTCAATTGCAAATTAAATACAACTTTCTTAAAAGTGCTTGTCATCAGTTAAATATTTTATATTATTAAAGTAATGTACGGCTATGAAAGATTTGCATATAACAGTTATTAGAAATCATAGAACAGACATATATTACGATACGATAATGCATTTTATCTTATTATTAGTAGTGCATTTCTAGTACGAGTTTCTTCGAGCTAACTATTCTTTAATTAAACATATTTGTATTCGAATTCATCGCCACACGCTAGAACCTAAGTGATCTCGGACAGTACGGTTTCAGAGAAGCTTCCACCTGTGTAACTTACATTGTGGAATGAACTACCTGCCGAGGTTTTTTCACGAGGCTACAAGCATGGAGTTTTTTAAGAAGGGTATATTAAGGTTTCTTAAGGATCGACAACGCGCATTTGACTCCCCAGGTGTCTAGGCTACGGTTTTTAACCATCAGATGATCCGACGGACCTGATACCATATGCTTGTTTGCCACCATCGTAGTATAAAAAAAATATCATCACAAATTCATTTAATATAAAAAAAGTATAAGCCAAGCCGCAAAACTGGTTAGCAGTTTGTCTGCAGCCAACTGAGTAGCAAAGGTTTCTAAATTGGCGAATTTGTTGTAGATAATATTAACTGCAAAGAAAGTAATATTAATTCAATGTCACAGACTCATATGTGTTGATATTTCCCATCTCCTTATTTGATATTTCCAGGCGGAGACACGCTTGCATTAAATTAAGTTCCGTACTAATTTAGTCCCCATTGCACTTAGTTTTATATAGAATAAAATATATAAATATACTGATTTCATAAGTCTATATATCAAGAATATTCTGTCACGAGGAAGGATATCGGCTATCTATTATATATATCTAGTAAAGAATACAACTATACCATATTGTATATTATAGTAAATAGTGTCTATGTCATAAATATATAGCCATAGATAAGACCCAGTATTTATTTTTACTTCTGATAGTTTCATTTACCATTAGTTTATGCATGACCAGGACTCAATCTAAGCTGAATATTATTTACCTAAACATACCTTTAACATAATTTACTATTGGGTTATCAGAACGTATGTCAGAAAAGACTCATATTTTGAATAGCTTAATAAAAACCAAATAAACTTTTGCGCCTTTGTTTTGATAGTAAACATATTTGTTTACATGGAATTTCGATTACTTTTGTAGTGTTTACCATTGAATCTATAAATATTTAATTGTAGAAAGGGAAACTGAAGGGAAAACGATGTGTAATAAAAATTATGGGTCTTTTGAGAAGAATTTTAGTAGAAAATAAACCTCATGACCCGTCATTACTTCTTTTTATGTCCGCACGAGGTACGAATACCTTGTACGAAGAATTAGTACTATTTATACGAATATTAGGTATAAAAAATTCTGTAATAATAATCTTATTTTGAGAAAAGGGTAAGCTATAATATTTAATCGAGTTCTTTTAAAATTACTTTGGGGACTGAATAGATACTAACATTATACATGCAACGTGTGTTTCCCTATTTGGGTGTTTATTTGTTATCTTATCACGATAACTGCTAAATGGATATTAATGTAATTTGGAATTAAAATAGATTGTATCTCGGGAACGGATACAGGCCATATTTTGTCTAAAAAAGCAGACATAGTCGCGGAAATCAGTTAGTGAAATACGGTCTGTATTTCACATTCTTGTATATGTAGATTTATACTTCAATAGCAATTTTTCGCGTAAGTATTGCCGATTACTAAAATGATAAAATTGTTTTGGTTAAGTTAAGAAGTTTTCTTCTATTCTATTAAACAGTAATTAATTATTAGGAGTACCAATGAAAATGTGCGAAATTGTATTTTGTAAAAGAGAATCTGAGTATGTAACAATTAGAAATATATCACATATGCTTCATGTGATATATGATTTCATTGTAATTAGGTTATATGTCCTAAAATATTCATATTATTACTGCTTTTAATCATTCATTTTATGTTCTTAATGCCTATAATTGTTTTGTTTTCTTATGGATAATATGGACTGTACCCTGTAAGACCCTATAATATAAAAATTCAGGCTATACGATTAAAAACGATAGGGTTCTTCAGTATTTCAGAGATGCAGTCGATTTTATACTTATACTAGCGGACAAGGTAAATGTCTTCCTGCTCCCAAAAGCAGAGCCCCCTGCTAAATCCAATGTATTTTCAAACTATTTAGGAATGTACACATACAATTCCAACTAAATCGGTTTAGTCGTATTAGAGGAGTTAGGTGACAAATACACATACAGAAGAATTGTATATAATATAAAATTATATTCTAGCAGATCATAACCTGTGCTGTACTATAATTAAAAGAAAAAATAAGAGAATAAACAAACAAGCAAGAATTAAGTAAATAATAAAATATGTAGCAATTATATTACAATCTTTTATCGAAAATTAGAATAGCGATGTTTGAGAACTTAAGGAGTGAAAAATACATAGAAATAAATACATATATGTACTATTTTCTTACCTTCTTCAACTCCTTTATTGAGATCCTGTCCGGTAATCTTTGGCAGAGATAATTGAATAGTCCTAGAGTTAGCAAAAGAGGCAATCCTGTCCCATAACATATCAGTCAAAGCTTCATTCTTATCATTCAAATTTCTTGGCAGATTCGAGTCAATATCGTTCTCACTGATCGAAACTGTTTCTGTTTCGGAACTCTTAACAATATCAACACCATCGATAACGGGTATCGCTTCTAATCTGGCGGCTCTATCAAAGAATAGTATAGCCTTCTTCTTCAAACAAGGAACGACTCCATCTGAATGTACACAATCCTCGTACAGCCTGGTGATGTACCTCATTCCAAGATCCTCTCTTGACGTGCCTGAATGCACCATAGTGCATAAGACAGAGAACAATAACACTTTAATAAACATAGTGAACTTTGACTGATGTTAACAGGACGGTTAGATAAAAAAGACTGGTGGTATGGATGCAAACGCTACGAGTATTTATAGGCTATGTAGTGACTACAAAAAGAATTGTGCTGTTCATATCGGGGGTACGCCGTTCTAAGCCGTATGTACACTAGGTGAGTGATGAATTGTACGTTACGTAGCTTGATAGTGGCACAGCGGTTTGATGGCGCCGGTAGTGTTGAGGGTTTGCACCGTGATTCGCAAAGAATGTATTAAGAATCAAAAAATAAAAAAAAACATCAAAATATATATTCTATACTATGACTAGATAGTGGACTACAACTTTAGACACCTCTAATATTCCTACTAATTTAATTTATGGAATTATCAAACTTTTTTTTTTATTTAATATAATATTTTTGATATATTTGATCTCTATTAATAGATAGATCATATAGTAAAAAGATCATGAAATTTTAATAGTAATTAGGTTTAGATCCACTATATACGATGTACTAAATATGACAGATATTTTTTGACCCCTGTATTGTATAAGGTGACTTAAATCTTTGAGGTCTTTATTAAGTGGATGATCTGAGTAGGTTGTTGCTTGCAGGAAATTTTGTATCCTTACATAACCGAAATAAGTACTAAGAAAAAAATTACAAAATATTCCCCTGTAATCTGAATTCACATCCACATGGGAAACAGTTAAGTTATGAATAATTGAATATATTTAAGAACAGAATAATAATATTTAGGTTAAACTTTTTTTATAACGTTGCTATTTTGTATATAATGAAAATATATAAATAAACCTGGAAGGACATGTGTGAAATATAACTAATTGTTACTACTATTTGTGTTTTTGGTTATTTATTTTTAATGATTGCAATAAAAAAGAATCTGACGACTTTTTACCGGTAATTTTATAAAATAAAACATGACACTCACGGTACTGCTCATCATTTTTAAACCGTTCTTTCAGACTTAATTTTATTAAGCCTTCTATACACGTCAGAAATCTCTCCGTTTTATGTCACTTTAGTTTCGATCAATTATCTGATAAAAAATAGATTAACCCTAAAATAAAAGAAAAACAAATGAAACCAGCAAGAACCAATTAGCAAGTATAAGCAAAGAAAAAGCCTAATTATTCAACCTCGATACAATAATGTATTCGCACGGCCCAGATATATTATTATATCTATGGAATCATGAGATTTACTTTTGCTTTCTTCGTAGTTAATGTTATGGGAATTTAGAAAAGTTTAAATACCAAGAGATTTTATACTCGGTGGCATCAATTATCTTTATGGAAATCTATGTGGGTTTAAAAAATTCAGAAGTTATTATTAAGTACAAATTATAGGATTCTGCATTATTAATTATTATTTATGTACATAGTCCAGCCATAAGTTCCGTTACAAATGAAAATGCATTTTTTTTAATGAAGTAACGTAATATTATTAAACTGTATGTTACATACATTATATATTTCTTAAAGTCTCAGGTCAGGTCAGTCTGACCGACGGGTCCATACCCACTTTATGCAAGGCGATCATTGCAAGCCTATTTTCTTTAACACCCCATTCCATATTGTAATTTGATAATGAAGACAAAATGAGAAATGGCGCAAAATCGAAAGAAGTTTTTAAAATAATATAATGATTCCAAATTCAAAATAATTAATAAATCAATAAGTTGAAAAAAAGAAGAATAAGTCTCTTTGTGTAACAGTATTTATGGACAGACTGGTTATATATATAGTGCTTTTTTTGTTGTTGGAGCAATGCAACGTAGGAATGGCAAACAAGCTGTCACCTAACCTAATGGTATCTAAATGCTTACGATTGCCTATATAGGAGCACCAAGTTACAAGGTTATGAAACCTTGTAACATTCGTGTTAGCTCCCTGCCGTTGTTATTCTGTAGGAGTAATATGTTATGCTTACGTTTCTACTAATTTCGCTGTTATATCTCATTCTATAACCAAAATATAAGCTGACTATACGAGCTGGTTGGTGGCTTAATAAATACATACTAAAGTATTACGTATATATTAGGCCACCAAGTACCAAGTCTCTGGTAATAGAGTAATCAAGTATTATGCTAACATAGTTCGTGGGATCTTAATAGATAATATTTCTTTATTTATTCACTTTATATTTATCACCTTACTATTAGATTTTATTGCTTTTTAATCATAATTATATAAATATTACCCCATAGATGATGAGTTAGTATAATACAGAGTTATAAAGTAAAGGAGCATGCTTACCATATTATTTACCATAAAAGTATTCGTGTGTACCCTATATTAATAATATATGTTTAAAAAGGACATGTTATCCTGAAAACTTGCTGAAAATAATTGTAAGTATAGGTTTTGTTACGTGCGTAACTTTCTTTCAATTTCTACCACAACGCGATATTCATCTGAGAACAAAGAAGCACTACGCACTTCACTATCAAACGTGATGGGTCATAAGTTCAGTATTTAACTTATACTAACCTTACTATGGGCATTACATATTCTCAAATATACTCATATAAGAATGATAAGCAGTGGTAGAATTTCTACACAGCCGTCTGCGTACCTCTGTCTCAACAATTGCAGTTTACAGGCTTTGTTTCAGTTGGAGGGGTAGATAGAGGCACCAAATTACGGGTACGGATATATAATATAATATATATCCGAATGGTGTAAATGTAGCCATCGACTTGTATGGCATTCCAATTATAAAAAAAATACTCACTTTGAAAAAACACTAAAGGACCGATCGGATATGCTTTGGTGAAATAAAATAATAGTAACAGAATTGTCTACATTCATCTGGAATAGGGTAACTACCTCTCTAACGGTGAAATACTTTTTAATTACACTTATATTGAGTAAGTGTTGCAAAGACCACAAAGTCGATAGTAGACCATACGTTTAACTTCACACGTTTCGACTTGTAAATGTGAACTTACAAGGATTATTTAAAAGAGCAACACACAAGTTTCTTGCTCATTCTTCTTGTGATGAGGCAGTATTCCGAATGAGCGGTAGATAAAAAAAAATTGTTATGACTATTCAAAAGTGCTTAAATTTAGTTTATTTGAATAAATGATTTTCTATTCTATTCTATTCTTTGTATAAATCTTGGTTTCTGCTCTACTTTTTATTCTTTTTATTTTGTTACACTTAAATATTTCAGATTCTACATATGTCTACGAACTTAGTAATTTTATCATCATACTCATATATTATTATTAAAGCGACACTGGGTAATTGAAACATGGCTGTAACATGTACGTACAGATTAATTTGTGAGTTTTTTATTACCTTGTCACAATAACATACAATAATAACTTATTGGTAACATGGAAAAATATAATTATGGATTTCTATCAAATTTACTGTGACAAAATCCTTTCAGAAATTGATCGTGGTTGTAAAGTCTTCCTCTGGTAAAACGAGCTATATAATAACATCCGCTCACACTTGACATTTTTGTTAAAAAAATTGATGAGTCATTAATTTCACTTCAGAGATTTCTGCCGCTGTTTGTTCTTGATAGTGTTGACTTGCATATAATGAGATTTACTGTATGATTACCGATTTCATGTAGCTATTTTAAGATGTTGGTTTATATTGATCGCAATGATGACTGGCTCAACTACCACATTTATGTATAGTAGAGTTTAGACATAGTCATATTTCTGATGGACTTTGAATAAAGTGACAGCTTCGATCTGGTCTAGCGGTATAGGACACCGCTTTTCTTCCCATAGTCGTGGGTTCGATTCCTCGCACGGTACAAACATTTGCATTCATGAGTATGATTGTTTGTGTCTGTGAGGGTATTTAATTTGTATATTGTGTATGTGCTTACAAAAAAAATCTAAGTATTTATATAAGTTGTCTAGTACCCATAACACAATCTCTGCTTACCATGGTACTAGAAGGTGCTGTGCTAATTGTCTAGGGTTATTTTTATAAAAAGTTTTTTGCGTAGGCACCTCTGTCTCACCGACTTTATCCTTCAAGCAGCTTATTTTGTAACCCTTGTTGTTATCCCTGTGAAATTATAAAGTAAGGAGGCTAAATGTCTATTGACTTCTAGACTTTTGGAACATACGAAGAGGACCACAACTGTCATAGCACCACACGTCAATGTCGTGATGTCCTTGGTACCAGTTCACGTATAAAGGCGAGGTTGACACTTACCATCAGGTAGTCAGCACATACATAAAATGGAAACTCACGCAATATTAACACTTAAATATACGCATATTTCGCTTAGTACATTTTAATTTTCAAACATTAAATACTATTAAACCTTAGTATTAAAACCAACATAGTAAAAAATTAAAGCCTAAAAACAGAACTATTAATTTAATATTCATTCTACTCTGTGTAGTGTTGTAATATAAACTAATTTAATATGACAATAAATATTGTTACTAAAAAATATTCAAAACTCTATTGAAAAGTTCTATTCTAATCTTGCAAAATGTCGTTTCTTTACTTCTTGATACATTTCTACAAATCTCCATACATGTATATTTTGTGTCCTTTTATTACATATATAAATATTTCAAAACTACAAATAATAAATTAATAATAATGTAATATTAGGTACTTAACATTTATTCAGTCCGTGCTGACTGAAAGTACGTTTGTTTTTTTATACTACGTAGGTGGCAAACAAGCATGCGGTCCATTTGACGGTAAACAGTTACCGTAGCCTATGGTGGCGTCCATAGGCTACGGTAACTGTTTAACCAAGGGCGTCACGCGTTATCAAGCCTTAAAAAACCTTAATATATCTTTTTTAAAAACCCCATGCTGTAATCTCTCGAGGAAACCTCGGCATGTAGTTCATTCACACGGGAGGCAGCTCCTCTGAAACCGCACTGTTCGAGACCACTTCGATTCCAGTGTGTGAAGATGAATTCCCTGTCGATGGCGAATATTGTTGTTCTTTAATACTTTTGTTCATGAATATTTTTGTACATGATCGTGGCGTATTGAGA